TTGGACCTGATGACCGCCACCGCGCGTGGACGTCTTCGACACCGTCATTCGTCGACTCTCCCGTTTCACTTGCCGGTGGTGGCGGCCAACACAGCACCGCGGGGTCCATCGTCTTCAAACAAGCATAAGTGTGGCGTCCATAGTAAACTCATGCTGCCGTTCTTCGACCCAAAATCCGAGCCTACAATAACCAACAAGAAGGCGATTAGGAGGGCCAGGGGATGATGGCCATTTATGCACCCCTTCAACGGCCTGCTGAGAGCAACACGTCCTCGGATAACCCCAAGTCTGCTCCTTTGCATCCCAGAGGCCTCCTCGCCCATTCCCGCTGATTCCTTCCTACATGCGCGACCAAGTGGCTCTGCATCTCACATCTTGAGCAACTCGATAGATGTGGCAAAGACACCCGTTTGGACAGGCATCTCATGTCCGCAACCAGTGCAACTCTCCGTCTGGTCCCAACCGATCAAGAAGCTCGGGGATATGCCGTGACCCAATCACAGGGCCACGAGCCGTCACTTCAACGGCACCCAGACCACAGATACAACGGTCTTGGGTGCCATCGCTCACATGTCGAGCAGTTACATCCAGAAGGATCACTCCAGCCCTCGACCAGCCAGATTCTTCTCATGGCCCGGCCGAGTGGCCACCAACATCCCCGCGAAGGCGCTGACACTGCCCTGTTTGGACGTCTGATTCGCCAGCTCGTCCGAGATGTCACTTTAAGCTATCGCCAAACCCCCATTCAGCTGGGCTGTCGGTGTTTACATACGAACTAGATCTATGTTTATATAGCTTCCGGTTCTGTCGTGTCGAAATGCCTCACGTCGTGTCTGTACCCTTTCTTGCTCTAATACTAATATCACTACCGCCATGCGCGCCGCTCTTTTCTTGCCCGTTGTTGCGGGTCTTGCCGCCGCCGCCTGCAACGGCAACGATGCTCTCTGCGGAAAGAAGTACTCGGAGGTGACCTTTGTCGGTTCTCACAACAGCCCCTTTGTAGGCATCGGGCCTGCAGACAACCAGCTGGTTTCGCCTACGGCACAGCTCGACCTGGGCGTTCGTTTCCTCCAAGCCCAGACGCAGAATAAGGATGGCGGCATTCAGATGTGCCACACGGATTGCCTCATTCTGGACGCCGGGTCGTTGTCTGATTACTTGACCTCAGTCACCAAGTGGATGAACGCCCACCCAAACGAGGTCGTGACCCTGCTTTTAACCAACATCGACGCGATCCCCGTGCAACAGTTTGACGACGTCTTCAAGAGTACAGGCCTCGATAAATATGTGCTCCGGCCGGAGGGGAAGGTGGCCGAGTGGCCCACGCTTCAGAAGCTCATTGACGACGGGACGAGGTTGATTGTCTTCATGGGTACCGCAGACCTGATTCTAGGATAAGTGGGAGACTGAGAAGCTGACGGGAGCAGACTACCACGCCGACACGAGCAAGGTGAACTACATCCTCGACGAGTTCCAGTACTTCTGGGAGACGCCGTACGGCGAGACGGACTCGAACTTCCCGCGGTGCAACATTGACCGGCCAGAGGGCGTCGACCCGAACGGGCGCATGTACCTCGTCAACCACGTCTTAAATATTGACATCTTTGGCGTCAAGATCCCGGACCTGGCCAACGCGGGAAAGACGAACTCGTTTGACTCGATCGACAAGCAGGTCAACCTCTGCAGAGGCATGTGGGGGAAGACACCGAATGTGATTCTGGTAAGTTGGACATCCTCTCTTGGACACCGAGTTGGATGGCAGCCATTGTCGGATCATCGAAATTGCCGTTGCTGACTGGGGCTGAAATAAGCTTGACTGGATCAATGTCGGCGACGCGGTGAAGGCGCAGACTACGTATAACGCCTAGAAGAAATCCGACCTTCCATGCATGGAATGCAGCCAACTCGCGCCAGCGGCAGTTGGAGCAGGATGTCGCAAAAATAGCAGCCAGGCCCCCGGGGAAGTGAAGCAGGCACCCGTCAGCTGGCTTGGGAAACGGGGCGACAGGGCGAGTGTGTTTGCTGCAAACCGCGCCGCAGAGGCTTCGTGTTTCCGGCAACTAAATCGCGCGTGGAAAGGGCGTTCGCTCTGGCGAGGCGAACGAGATCACGTTCGCGCAGGGCGAGTTGTGAGGGGAGAGAAGAGGGAGAGAGAAGGAGGGGTCGCATCCGAGTGGCTTTTTGGAGGTGAGAGCGAAGCCACGCTCGGTGTCCCGATTCGGGCAAGGAGCTTCGGGCGATGGCCAAGGGGCTGGCGAGCTACCGTTCTCATCCATTTTCGGCCACCGGTCACTCGATACCACTTTTCTCAGCCTGATTTCTGGCTGCTGCTGTCAATTTTCACATTTGCATCTGCCACTCCCCGATCTGAAATCACCTTGTCGCGTGTCTTTGATTCATGAGATAAATACCAAGCCATGGCTTAACTTCATGAGTGCCGGCTCGTTTGAGTCCCGACTTATACGACCTGATTGAATTCGTTCCCCTCATTGTTACCGTCCATACGCAAATCTTCTTCCTGGAATGAGCATCTGCTTCCACCGCCATGGAGAGAGACGGAACATGGCTAGCTGACGGTGCCTACCTCGACTTCGTCAGGTCGCTCTCCTTCTCAGACCCGCGGCTCAAGCAGCGCGACCCCAAGGCTACCACCCAGCGCATCGCCTTCACCGACAACAACGTCAAAGTCGTCAAGCTGAGCCTCCACAACGGCAGGTTCACAAGGAAAGCAGAGTTCGACGAGCCGGCCCTGCTCGAGGCGCACTTCCTCAACACGGCGTCGCAGCGCGGCCGCCAGAACGTCTACATCGTCGAGGGGCTTGGCCCCGGCTTTGCGAGCGTTCTGGGAAACCACTTCTCGCTCCATCCTTCCTTCTTCGTGGAGCACGAGCGTGTTGTCGTGCACAACTTGAACTGGATGGGCGAGAGCGATGGCGTGCAGTTGCCGTCTGTCATCCAGAGTCGGGGACACCTGGAGATGAAATACTATGAAGTTGTGACCTTTGACAGGAAACCGACGAGCTTTCGATGGGTTTGCGCGGCAACAGGAAGACATATTGGTGTTTCCAGAGATTTCAGATGGGACAATTCTCCTGATGAGATTGATAATTACCTAGACGTTGGTGTTGTACGGAGAAAGTGCGGCGTTTGGTCTTGGAGGACCGAAGGCGGCGGCTGGGACTGTAAGATCTGCATATCAACGTACTCATGCAACCCCGCTAACAAACACCAGGCCTCGTCCTCTGCGACCCTCCCGTCAAAAGCGTCAGAACAGGCGACCAATACAGCGTCGAGCACGACGTCAAGACCTGGCCCTACCAGGGCGGCTACCTCGACTTCGTCCCAGAAGAAGAACAGATCCGCGTCGCCCGGGAAGGCTTCTACCGCGGCCCGCCGCGCATTTCCATGCTCGAGGACCTCTCCTTCTACCTCGAGACGCACTCGCGCCTCGTCGACATCGCGGAGCCCGAGTCCGTCGCCGTCTTCGTCAAGAAGATCGTCGCCTCCCACTTCCTCAAGCAGACGGAGCACCTGCGCGCCACTCTCTCCGCCGTCCAGCGCGGGCTCACCCGCAAGCAGGACCTCGCACGCATGCCCATGGAGAAGGTCGAGGCGCTGTGGAGCGACATGCAGGGCTGGGAGCGGCGGACCGGGGAGTACCTCGAGGACCTGGAGGGCATTATGCTGCAGCTCGGCATCCCGCTGTCGCACCCGGCAGGGGCACCGGTAGTACCGGTATCGCCGTCGCCGCCCCGCGGTGCGGTGTCGGCGGCGAGCATCGCGTGGCAGGACTGCACTGCCGATTTCCAGTTCCTGTACCTCCGGTTCCGGGAACTGCGGCACCGCACCGAGACGCTGAACGCCGCGGTGACCGGGCTGGCGAGCATCACGGGCAACCGGCAGGCGTACAAGGAGCAGCAACGCAGCATCAGCGAGGCCAAGCGGGTCAAGGCAATCACGCTGCTCGGGCTGGTGTTCATACCGCTGGCGTTCACAACGTCGCTGTTTGGGATGGAGTCGCCATATAAGCCGGGAGACCAGCTGTTTTGGGTGTACTTTGTGACATCTATTCCTTTGATTGTCGTCATCTTGCTGGCCTACTATGTCTTGGATCTCGGGTACAATGACGAGGGAAGAGCATGGTCGTTAGAAAACTTGGCTGTGAGATTGGATAGACTGAGACGGCAGGAAAACAAGTTCATGGGAGGGTTCAAAGAAGGTAGAGCGTGAATAGGGAAATTAGAGAGACCTACATAAATTAGCCAAAACATTTGGCCAGCTTCATATCCAGACCGTAGTTATGCATACAGTCAGTCGTGTGCCATTCCTCAACTCACAGGTCCGAGGAATTGAAAGCCAAAAAAAAAAAAAAAAAGGGAAATACAATGGGGGGCCACTGGAGATATGTAGAGCCACCTAAACTCGAACCCACGAGCTGTGCGGGTGAAGTGCAATCCCGTGGTTGCTCATGAGTCGGTCGAGCTGAGGTTTTAGACACCTTCCTGTTTTCGCTTTCCCCTCCACATGGTATTAATGACTTCTCCTCAAAGCTTTATAACCAAAACTTGAAAACCGCTGTTTATGACAATATTATATAAATATTTTAAGCAAAAGTTACTTCAACGTCCCTTCAGATCCTGATCAATGCCGTGTGTAAGTGTCGTCATATGTGCTGGAGCTCGAGCCCGGCCGATAAGAGCTCCAAAGTGGGTCTCCTCTCACCACAGCACTCCTTATCGGCGTGTTTAGTGGCGCCGCGCTCGCGATAAGCTCCCGTCCCCCAATCGACACCAACACGTCGCGCGTCCCACCGACGCGTCTAAGAGCTCTTCCGTCTTAATTGACGGCCTGCTCCACCACCCACCACACAACACTACCACAACACTCGTCTTTGACTCGGATATCGGTACCTTTTCAAAAGCACATTAGCCAACCTTTGCCTCATTCTTTCCATGTTTTGATACCCATAACCCTACATTCCACCTTAATCACAACCCGCAATGGCTTCAGAACAGCCCGCGGCGCGCTCACCCAGCGCGAGCCCGGCCCCAGAGTCGCTCCAGGCGCGGATCGCCGCCCGTCTGGCCGCCATTAACACCGACTCCGAAGACGACGAGCCCCAGACCACCAGCCGCAAGAGCAAGACTCCCCCAAAGACCACACAGATGAACAGCGACTCAGAAGAAGAGGTCGTCAGACGACCTAGAGGCCGCCTCGCGGCCCAGATGGCCGGCGGTGAGAGATCAGACTCAGAAGAGCCCGAAAGCTTTCTCGACCGCATCCAGAAGCGACTCCAAGCAGCGGACGAGGCCAACGACGACAAGGAGGACGACACAGTCATGGGAGAGGCCGAAGACGAAGACGACACCCCGGTTGCCCCTCGCCGGCTACAGAGAAGGTCGGAGAGAGAATCCACGCCAAAGGCTCAAAGCCCGGCGCGTTCTCCTACGCCGGGTCTCTTCGTGTCTCCCGAAAAACAGACCCCAAGCAAACCCGCAAACGATACAGCAGCCAACGACTCCGACTCCGACGCGTCGCTTCCTGCTCTGAAGAGCTCCAGATTTCAAGCCCTCGTCGAGCGCAAGCGAGCTGAGAGATTGGCCCGCGAAGCCGAGGAGGAGAAGAAGAAGGCCGAGCGGATCGAACGCCAGAAGGCCATGAATGCCAATCTCTTTGACGACGAAGACAACGTCTCTGACATCACCGACGATGAAGGCGGCAGGACACTCAGCCAGGCGGCACGACCAGCCAGAAAGGCCGGCAAGAAGGCCATTGAGGAAATGAACCGTGAGACGCAGCGCATGGCCCGTAACATGCAGCTTGCCCACGAGGCGAAGACACGGAAGAAGTTCACCAAGGCGGACTTTTTGGAACGATTCAACTTCAGGACCGCGGAAGCCAAGGCCGACCCCAAGACGACTAGCTCAAGCAGGCCGACAACGCCCGTCTCCGCGCATCAGACCGACGCTGAGATGAAGGATACTGAGACGCCACCTAGCTCACCCCCTGTTGCCAAGGCGCCTTCGCCGACCAAGGAGGCTACTACGGTGGTCCAGCCTGAGGTTACCCCTGGCGATAAGCAGGAATTGCCCTCGCTCGACGACGTGTTTGAAGCCTCGAAGAAGCTTGACAAGGGCAAGGGCAAGGCTGTGGCCTCTCCAAGCCCCAAGAAGTCTGCGGCCAAGGAGGTTAAGCCTAAACGTCAAGTTCGCATCAAGCTTCCCCCTATTGCAGCCCATAATGCTGCAATTGACTTGGACGACGATCTGGAGATCACCGGCGTGAAGAAGGGCAAGCTCGACGCCGTTTTCGACAGTATTCCGGAGAAGAAGTCCAGAGAAGCCAGCTCACTACACGCTCTGCGTCGTCTCGCTCAAGTTGGCTCTCCCGAAAGAGCGAGGAAGAGTCGTGCCGAGAAGAAGGGCATCACCGCCGCCGAGATGCACTTCAACCTCCAGCAGCGCGCTCGTGAGCAAGCCAAGCTGGAGCGTGAGAGGCGCCTGCAGGATCTCAAGGCCAGAGGCATCACTGTGCAGACGGCAGAGGAGCGTGAGCGCGAGATGCAAGAAGTCGAGGACATTGTCTCCAGAGCCAGAAGGGAGGCTGAGGAGATTATGGCGCGAGAGAGAGAGGCAGCCAAGGAAGAGAAGAGAGAAAAGAGGAAGAATGGCGAGCTCGATCCCTTCGACGATAGTGACGACGAAGAGTATGAGGGCTCCGAGGAGGAGGTCGATAACGAGGCCGACATCGAGCTCTCTGGTTCCGAAGACGAGGAGGAGGGTGTTGCTGATGAGGAAGGGGGCAATGCTTTGGTCGACAACGAAGCTGGTGACAGCGGATCTGAGCACTCGGATGCTGAGGCCGACGTCACCGAGCAGGTCGACCTTGATGACTCTGAGGATGACTTGGACCTGCCTACTAAGAATGTTCGCCGGTCCAAAAAGACTCGGGTCGTTTCTGACGATGAGGATGACAATGAGACGGTGCAGGCTACACCTAGACCCAAGACGGCCACCCAACGGTCCCCTGTGGCGCCCAACACCAAGTCGCCCGCAGTGCCTACTTCCGTCCTGCGATCTGCAAAGAAGACGTTCATTCCCGGACTTCCCGTCACTGGAGCCGCCGGCCTCGGCCTGACCCAGATCTTCGCTGGCACTATGGACGACAGCCAGACAGCTCTCGGAACCATTCCCTCGCAGTCACCTATGCCAGACTTTGATAGCCTTCCAGACTCAAACCTCATCAGCAACACCCAGCCAGACAGCATGATTCTGGATAGCCAGGGCGGCGACACCCAACGAGCCGAGACGCAACCCGAGTCTGCGGAAGGCGTCCACCTCCACTTCAGCCAGTCTCAGGTGCACGGTTTCGACAGCCTGCTTCGCGACGAGGAGCCGTCAACCCAGATCTCCATAGAAGCGACCCAGGATGCTGGCCTGCAAGACTACACGCCCCTGAGGTCTCGCTTCGTCGAACCACCCGCGTCCACCGTCGAGACCGTGATGCTGGACGGCGACGCAGAGCCCGATGCTGTCCTCGAGTCTCCTCTCGTCCGCAGGGGCAGACTCCGTCGCAAGATTGACGTCGCCGCTGCTCCTGTCGAAGACGAGGAAGAGGAGACCCAACGAGCCCCGACCCCCGACGTCGACGAGTTCGGCTTCAACACGTCCGCCTTCGGTATCATGAAGGACGCCGTCAAGAAGCAGGAGAAGCTCAAGAAGGCTCAAGAGTACAACCGTAAGAAGAGCAAGGCGAAGGAGATGGTCGAGGAGCAGGCCGACGAATCCGAGGACGAGTACGCTGGTCTCGGCGGTGCGGATGGCGAAGACAGCGATGACGACTCCGACGCCGCCTCCGTCAAGGAGATGATTGACGACCAGAGCAACATGAACGCCGACGACGAGCGCAAACTCGCCGCCCTCCATGCGTAAGACATACCCATCCCAGCTTCCCAGAAATTTGCTCCAACTAACACACCTCCAGGGAACGTGAGCGTGCCACGGACGAAAAGATGGTGGACAAGCTCTTCCACGACATCACGACCGGCATGCTCCGCCGCAAACGCGGCGCGGACTACGACCTTTCAGACTCGGACGACGGCGGCGAGGCCCGCCGCCGCATGAAGCGCCGCCAGTTCCAAAAGATGCAGCAGGCCCTCTTCGCCGACGAGCGCATCAAGAAGATTGCAGAGAAGCCCGGCAACCAAGCCTTCCTCCGCACCATCGAGGACCGCGGCTCCGACGACGAGATGGACTTTCTCGACTTCGCCCCCGCGGAGCCGATGCAGACGGAAGACAACGACTCGCAGTCCCAGACGCAACAAGACCAGACCACCGTCCCGGATAGCCAGCCCACCACCACGCGACAGCCGCTCGGCGGCGCCCCTGTGGCAAACAGGCCGCCCGCGAACATGCGCAGGACAAAGGACGGCAAGAAGCCATCCAACATTGGCGAGATCCGCGAGTCCGTGTCGAGCCTGCTGGAGGACCTCAACGCGGAAGTCATCCCCGCCACCGACCCGGCCTCAGACAGCGACGACGACGAGCGCCCCGGCACCTCGCGAAGCAACAAGGAAAACGACGACGGCATCCCCGCGACGGCTAACCCCCGCCGCAGCCACAACCTCACCCGCGCCGCCGTCGTCGACCGCATCTCCCTCAAGCGCCAGTCCTCCTCCACAATGTCCACCACCTCCTCCAAGCTCGCCTTCGCCATGCCCTCCGCCTCCTCCATCGGCGGCGGCTCCGGCAGCTTCAAGGTCCCCGCGCTGCTCCGCCGCGCGACGACCAACTCATCCTTCAAGTCGAGCTCCTCCGCCTCGGGGGGCGTGCCCTTCTCCGCGTCCGGCGGCGGCACGAGCGGCTTCGGCGACGACGGCAAAATCAAGAAGAACGCGAGCAAGAGGTCCGGCGTCAGCGCGCTCGCGCGCGAGACGGAGCGCCGCGCTGCGGTGCTGGAGAACGAGAAGAGGAGGGAGGCGAGGAAGTGGAAGGGCGCGGAGCAGAGAGTCAAGGCTGTTGGCGGCTTGTTCGGGGGTGGAAAGTTTGAGTGAGGATGCGTGGGATTTGGGTAATGGCAAAAATTGACACGTCTTGATGAAATGAACACGGAAGGGTGTTATGGACTTTGGGAGTTCTGAGGTTGGGTAATCATCATTGCTGGCGTTTGGACTGGGGTAGGGGGATGGGATTGATCGAAGTTTATTGCATCTTTTGAATGATTGGTCACAAACATGCATGCTTCACTGTGAACATTCAAATGCTCCTCTTGACACTTGATTCCTACTGCCCGTCTCATCTCGCCCCTCCTCGCACCACTCCAAAACTCATGATCGTCTATTTCTTCTTCTGGCCAGCGACGACGGTGATCTCCTTGGGCAACTCCGCCACGTACGGCAAGAACTCGGGCTCGCCGGGGATGTACTTGCGCAGCACCTCGGGGACCTTGAAGCCGTCGGGGGTCTGGTAGTTCTCCATGATGCAGCAGAGCGTGCGCTCGGTGGCGCAGAGCGTGGCGTTGAGGGCGTGGACGTACTCCTTGCGTCCGCCGCCGGGGGCCTCCTTGGCCTTCTTGACGCCGTAGCGGACCTCGAGCTCGCGGGTCTGGTAGTCGGTGCAGTTGGAGCAGGAGACGAGCTCCTTGTACTCCTGCTGGAAGGGGAACCAGGCCTCGAGGTCGTACTTCTTGGCGGCGGCGTTGTTCCTGTTTGTCCCATGAGCATGCTGGATTGGGTGGAAATGCGTGTGTGAGGGGGGTAGTGACTTACAGGGCGCCAGAGACGATGGAGACGACGCGGTAGGGCAGGCCGAGGGACTTGTAGAATTCCTCGGAGTTGGCAATCATCTCGTCAAAGTGCTTCCAGCTGTCCTCGGGCTTGCAGAAGACGAACTGCTCAATCTTCTCAAACTGGTGGATGCGGAACAGGCCCCAGGCCTCCTTGCCGCTGTGAGTCGCGTCAGCCGAAATTCTTTCTCGCCATATACGCAATCCCTGAATGTAAAACATACTGCTTGCCGGCTTCCTTGCGGAAGCACGTGCTGTAACCGGCGTACTTGATGGGCAGCTGGCTGGCCTGAATCCACTCCTCGCTGTGCAGGGCGGAGAGGGGCTGCTCGGAGGTGGCGATGAGGTACTTCTCCTCGCCGTCACCGGTGACCTTGTACAGCTCTTCGTCGAACTGCTCCAGCTGGGCAGTCTTAGCCATCTCCTCGCGCTTCATCATGAAGGGGGGCTGGTTGGGCGTGTAGCCCCTGTTGAAGAGGAATGCGATACCGTACTGGATCAGAGCCTGGTTCCTGTTCCAATTGTCAGCCCATGCCCCGGCAGGTCACTTCTCCGGTGTCTCTCTTCCACGTACAGCAACAGACCGTAGCCAGTCAAGCAGTAACCTCTGTGTCCGACAAGCTTGACGGCCCTCTCCGAGTCATAACCGGCCAGACGCGTGACGACCTGGTGGTGGGAAAGGGTCTCCTCCGTCTTGGCGCCCAGTCCGGCCTCGGGCCTCCACTCGCGCTCGGTGACGTTGTTGTCCTCGTTGTCGCTGACGGGGACGGACTCGTGGACGTAGTTGCCGATGCTCTTCGCCTTGGCGTTGAGCACCTTGAGCTTCGCTACGGCCTCGTCCTCCTTTTCCTTCTTCTGCTTCTGCAGGTCCTCCTTCTTCTTGAGCAGGTCGTCGGCGTTCTCCTTGTTCTTCTTCTTCATGCCAATCTCCTTTTGCGTCGCATTGATGTCGCTGCCGATCTGGGTGGCGGCGTACTGAGTCTTGCGGTGGTCTGTTTCGATGGGCGCCTAGAGTCAGCCTTTCCCATTCGTGCTCTTGAAGTGTTTTCGTGATTGCGCGCGCACGCGATAGGGTGTGAATGGGGGGCTCGTACCTTCCCACAGGGCAATGACCTCGTCGACGGCCTCGATCGGGGCATGACGACGGCGCTGGGACTCGCGGATCTTCTCCGGGTCGCCGCCGCGCTCCTTGATGAAATCTTGGAGGTCGAGCATGGTGTCTGGTCTTCGGTGGGGTTGCGAGGGGAAATCGGAGGGGGCTGCCACAGAAATTGGACGATTAATACCGCGCTCCGTCTACAGTATGAATCCACTTGGCTTGAGGCGTACTTACTATTTCCTTGGGACGGCGCGACGGAGTGGCAGTGGCTTCGGCGTGGTGACTCAAGAAAGTTGGGCAGATTCGTGGTGGTCGTAGGTAAATTGTCGTTGCTGTGGTGGGGTCATTTGGCGGGGGCGGGGCTGGGCGGTCAAAGGCAAGGGTCTCACACCATCAGCAGCCTCTCCTCTGCACAGTCATGGCAGGTGTTACTCAACTCCAAGAGCGGCAGGTCGTTCGTTCCCCTTTTCTGCCACCCATTTCTGCATTGCAATCGCAATGGGTTGCATGAGACATGCAAAGGGGGCTCGGTTTTCGCGCTTGTGACTCAAAACTGACCTTCAGTGTGAAGCCATCAGCAACATGGACGAGCGTTTTGGAGAATACTCCTCAGCTTTACGACGACAACTTCAGGGTCAAAGCTCATGGGCTACGCCATCGTTCGAGCACCTTTTCTTTTTGAAAGTAACTTGGAGCGGTCTCGTGTCGAATACGAGGTAAACAACCAAATGCAATTCAGGCTCGGCCGTATAGATATTGCTCATCTCGGAGCGCATATGCCCTTTCCCACCTTCCAGAGTGTTAACTAGTGTACAGTTGTGCCGTGAAAAACCCAGAGAAAACGCGACCCAGAGCCATGTACCATATCCCGCGGTTCTCGCATCAATCTCGCCGAATGACAATCATACAGGTGCTCCTCAAACCTCAGCAGTCACCGTCTCCTCGACTTTGGCCTTCTTTGCAGAGTCCTCGTCCTCTGCAGGTTCCTCGGCCTTACGCTTGGCGCCGTTCTCGCCATTGGCCTGAGGCTCAGCTGGCTCGGCTGCCTTTGGCACCTCGGTGGGCTTCGGCTCCTCCTTGGCCTTCTTTCTGACCAGACCAGTGAGATCATTGGCAGACTTCTTGGCTTCCTCGATGCGGGCCTGGGTCTGCTCGGCAGACTCACCAAGGGCGGCACCAAGGATACCTCCCATGGCTTGGTCGGCTAGAGCGGCGTTCATGTCGATGGGAGGCTTGCGAAGCTCCGTGAGCTAAAAGCACCACAGTCAGTGACGTTCACTAGTACACAGTCAGATTTACTAACCCGTTGCTCCAGGTCCGCAATCATATCCTTAACATCAGTGATTGTTGCTCTGGTGACTTCATTGTCCTCAGGCGACGCCATGGTGGCCAGCTCGACTTCCTTGTTCTGGAGCTTCAACTTGGTGCTCTCGATGGCGGCCTCGAGCTCGTTGGCTGCCTCCTCACGAAGCTTCTCATCAAAAGCTTGCGACTCGGTGGCGCCCTCCTCCTTGGTGGATGTGACGGATGCGAACTCGAGGGCTAGGGACAGCTTAAAGTGTGCCTCAGCAATGACTTCAGAGTCGTTGGTGTACAGATCCTTCTTGAACTTCAACGACTTGCGCGAGTCCTCAATCGCCTCGGGGTATCTATGATTCGGTCAGCAAGCTTTCCACTGCGACATGCACAGCAGACTTGCCTCTCGTTCTCCAGGGAAATCTCTGCGAGGAGATCGTGGGTATCTGCAAGGCGCTCCTTGACATGCTTGATCTTGCTCGTCTCGCCATCGACCTGCTCTTGGGGCTTGCCATTTGGCTCCTCCTTCTCCAACTGCTCAAGTTGACGATAGAAGAGAACGCGCGCCATGTCCAGTACACCGAATGCGGTCTCGAGGTCGTCGTCTTCCTCTTCTTCCTCCTCACCTTCACCCTCGGCCTGGCATACAGTCAGCTCTCGATCGATGGGCTGACCCTATCCCGCTTACCTCTTCCTCGTCCGAATCATCAAAGTTTTCATCGCCAGTGAACTGGAACAGCGGCTTCGTCTCTTCAGTCTTCGCGCCAGAGGTCTCATTGGCGACAATCGCAACGCCCTCCTCAGTTATTCTCTCGGCCTCGGTCTGGGCAGGCGCATCGGTCGGCGCTGTGGGGGCGGCCTTCTTGGCCTTGGGTTTCGGCTTCTCGGCCTTCTTCTCGCCGGCGGCCTTTCCCCCCAAGACGTCGCTCTTGCTTTGTCCAATCTTGAAAACACACCTTCCGTAGAGGAACAGGATCTCCGCGTTCTGAGGCTGCATTTCGCCGTTAATCTCATCCTGCAGCTCTGCCGCTTTCGTGAAGTTCTCGGCGGCCTCGTCGTATTGCTTCTTCGCATACAGCGCAGTTCCCTTCGCAGTCAGATCCGCAAGGGTAACCTTCTTGGAGTTGATGTCCTCTTCCGACTCTTCGCCGCCAGCGGTGGCGGGAGTGTCCTGCTGAGCGGGCGCATCCTGCTTGAGCTCCTCCGGGTTTGCGACAGCGACGGGGACCACCACAGTAGGTGCCTCGACGACAGGGACCTCTGCGGCAATCGTGGGTTGCTCCGTGACGTCAGCCATCATGAAGGATGGGAGTGAGGTGCTGTTGTGATCGGGGGTGTCAATTGATGGATTGGAAGAGCAAAATCTCTTGCGCAGGGTGGTTGTGAGATGAATGGATGATTTTGCGACGGGGAAGGAGCAAGGACTGACAGCTGCCTTTGTCAGTGGTACGACGCGCGAGCTGGAGGAAGGCCGCGTTGATTGGGGAACCAAGCTGCAGGGATAGCTCTTTCCTGCACGTCAGACCGGGTCGACCCAATTAAAACAGTGAGTGCGTATGACGAAATCAACTGTGCCATGCACTGTATTAAATCCCATCAATTCTGGGGAGGAGAATAGCCCACAGGGTGCTGCTACCGCTCCCACTGCAACTATTGCTGCCTCGTAATTATCTTTTGGCTTAGATTGACATGTTTCCAGACCCCCATCCCGGTCCTTGCCTTGTATCATCTTTCATCTGGATGACTCTGCAATGGCCTATGAGGATATTTACCGAAAGGGCCTACAACTGCATGTTCGCCGATGGCGTCCGGCTTGGCTGTCCTCGCAGGTGTGCCGATGAGCCCTTGAACAGACTCTGCCATATGAATGCCTCACTCAACAAGAGTTCGATGTCTTTTTCTGTCCACGACTTCGTCGGTAGACTCTGCAAAAACATCATGATCTCCTGGAAATCCATCTTGACCAGCTTGTCCGACCATTTGACCAAGAATGCGGCGCACACATACAGATGAAACTCCGAAAACCCTTGCTCTTCAGCCTGTAAGAGACGTTAGCATAGACCTGCAAAAAAGCACGAGCAACTCACCAAATATGTATCCCACATCCGGATTGTATTCCGCACACTGATTTCTCGCATCAACAGACAGTTCATCCACCGAAAACTGAACTGAATGAATTCCACATGCTCGTTTTCGAGATGCTTCGCCAAGCTGGCATCAATCCTCGCGGTGAGATCGCGAAGAGCAGTGACCTGTCTCTGAATGCCTGGTTGAGCCACAATGTAATGGTCTTGAATGCCATCAAGGAGCTTCGTCAGGCACCAGAACGAGTCCGCTTCCACGGCGTCTAGGACTGGCTTGGGCAGCTGACCAGGATCCATGCCGGATTCTATGTCAGAGTCGGCGATATAGGCACTCAAAAATACTTGCCAAAATGGCGTCACCAGATCGTTAATACCCTGCACATAACCACTGGCAGGATGTCGTACGGCCCAAAGGTATAGAATCCGCTCCAGCGATCTCTGAGTTGCCTCGTATGAGTACAGTTCGATATGAGGGTTCGTTCTCGGGACGTCAATGCTGATCTGATGCCAGACGGCCTCATCCAGTCCCCTCGCCTTGCCTGTTGGAGCTGTGCTTGTGCCGCCTCTTTCAAAGGCCTGTCGGACGCCGTCCAAGTACTCCTTCCGTTTTCTTTCCAGAGTCGCGACTCTTCTTTCGCTGTTCGTCGGCAAGTAGCTAAGCAGCAATTGCCACGTCATAGCCCGAACTTCCTGAGGGACGCCGGACCACGCAAGCTGCCGCAGATCTTGCAGTGGTATGGTGGAGGCTTGCAGGAGCTTTTTGAACTTGTTGATCCGAGTTATCCTGGAATTGGCGGCGTCAATTTCTTTAGGAGTTGCGTTGGCGGGGACGGCGGGGTGGTCAATTAGGTGCAGGGCGTTTGCGGGGTCTATCATAATCAGCGCTGCATAACACGTCTTTTGCGCCGCGACCTACCTCTGAGTATCTCCTTATATTGCGGTCTTAAAATCTTGCCCTCGCTTTTCTTGGGCATGGGGTAGGTTGGCGCAGGCCTTTCAATGGCAATGTCTGCACTGTTTGAGTATCTTCTGGTGTGAAGCCCAAGCCCAAAGGAGTCGTCCATTGGCGACAGACTTCCGTTAAGGTCGGTTCTGTTCTGCGCTGCCATCTTGCGCGTTCGTCTCTTCATGTTGGACAGACTGGGCAAGCCAAAGTCGTCGCCGTCATCATCTTCATACCCCATCATATCGTCCTCGTCCGCCTTCCAGTCATCGTTCGTGTTGGATAGGAAGCTTATGTAGCTCTTGATTGGTGGCGACGAAAGACCCGACGCAGGCCTCGAGGTCGGGGGAGAGACATCGCTCGGTCGGCCCTTGGTCGAATGGGAGGATGGTGGAGTTTTCGGTCTCGAAGAGGAGCTAGAAAGGTTCCTTGCTACCAGTCAGCGGGAAGTTTTGAAAGTAGCATTGCAAAAGGGCGTCGCACAAGGAATCGAATTTGAGAATATCGGCATGGGAGTAGGCAGCTCCAACAACCAGGCTGGAGTCGCGACCTGTCCTCTTCGGTGTGTTCTCGCGTGGGGGCGGCGGTTTCCAGAATGGCGACGCAGAACTACCCCAAGTCAGTCCCGGCTGTTTGCTTGCAAGGCTGCAGAGTCAACATACTCGGACCGATCTGCATCGGGAGTGAGAGATGATATTAGCCAAATACTTCCACACGCAGTATGCGACGACCGAGCCTCTGAGGCAGGAGGCTTCTCGCGCTACTACAAGAGTTATGACGAAACCCACCGACTTGAACCATCTCCTGCTGCGGGGCAACTTAGCATGCGATAACGGTTTTGTGCATGAGAGCTTTGGAGCATACATACCTGTTGCGCGGGTTTCTTCCCACTCCCTGAAGAGGAGAACATCTTGTCGTTTCTCTATTGAGAGAGTCTCATATTGTGTATTGTTGTTGAGATGCGCCAGACGAGTCGCCTGAGCTCCGAGCAAGTGACCAGTGGCCGGACCCTTGCTTCACATTAGTGTACCGCCCGCCGCTCGGAGCAGCAGTTGAAGTGGAGTCGAGGAGGTCACTGTGGCTTCGGCCGGTAGACTGTGGCGGTGATGGTGTTTCCCGCGCTCCAGTTACGATTCGGCCTTTGGCCGTACTTAGATAGCTTTACTGTTTCTTTTCGGCCAATATGCAATCAGGATGCAAATATGGCTTTGAAGTTTGCGCTGGAACAACCAAGAAAGAAGGTTCAGCCTGGACAGACAAGGCGACAAGTACCGCAGGGGTTTTTGGTCGTTGTTGTGAGAATTCCAGGCGGGTCGCAAACGGTCAGACTCAAACAATCCGGTACGGTACCTTACATGGCCGCAGAGCAACGCCCCAGCCTCAGTCGCAAAGTCCTTTCTAAAGCGTGGGTGACCCGTAAGACACTCCACGGCCCAGCGTCTGAGGTGGTCCACACAAGCAAGGTTCTTTACGTCCACGGAACTCCTATTGAGGTAAGGCTCTTTCCGTTTTCTTCCTAGTCACGTGAGAAGCCGAGGCGCGCTTTCCTTTGCTGAGTCCAAGCTGCTAAGGTTAGCCCGTCGCGCACGGGCGCCTTCCTCAGTCTTTAGAGCTCTGATTGGATTGAGCACCCTTATTGGCTCCGCCACCTTGTGGTCCCACCTTCCACCCTCTTCACTAGGTGTCCACCCTCGCTCAAGAAATAACCAAACAACCCGTGCTGCTACACCACGTCAACGACGACGTGCCATCTCTGTTTGTCGCTCGCGTTCATTAACCCATTTAGTTCCTTCCCTTTTTTCATTCTTGCCTTGCTCAGTTGCAGGATTTTCATCGACAAGCGGCATCGACTTTTCAAACGCTACCAGCAGCATCTTCGATCAGCGACAAGATGACCGAGCCGGAGAACTTTGAGGAGGATCTCTTCGCCGACCTGTGAGTGATGGCATCCCTTCCACCCTAGCTACCATCGACGCAGACGCTGATACTACACCAGCTACGACGATGATACCCCCGCGAAGGCGGCTGCCGCCTCGGAGCCCGCCGCGGCGCCCGCTCCTGCCGCAGCTCCCGTCCAGACCCATGAAACATACGCCGAGCCGCCTCCTTCAGCCGAGCCAGATCACGGTGCTGATGATCAGATGAGGTACGAAGACGAGGATGATGATGATGAGGTAGACTTCAACCTTGGCGGTGGAGGCGGAGGTGGCGGCGGCAATGGAGGCGCGACGACCTCGCACGCGCATCCGTCAAACGGAATGGGCGCAGTTAAGCACGAGGAGCCAACATACTCGACGAGCACGGCCAAGAACCCTAGTGCCAAGGAAGACGGGTAAGTGATTATCTTTACGTGACGTTTGCATTGCTACACATCCCCACGGCATGGCACTCAAAGTGGACGTGCCTGCTACGAATAAAATAACCAGCAGCTGCCCAGCTGTGGTTCTCGGGTGCTTGGGTGTCAGTGGCCCATGGTCAGACTTGATTGGTCTTTGGGACTTGGGAGGAGAAAGAGGCGGCAACACCAGAAGACGTCGGTCAACTGCGTCTATGGATGAGACTTCAGGGTCAATCGAGCAAGCCAAGGAAGAACAAGACTCAAGACAAGAGAGCTCGATGAGCCAGAAAGAGAAGCCAGAAAGAGGTGCCACAAAAGTCAGCTGGAAAAGCAGCCTGAGATCACCGAGATATGCCGCCGATAGTCAGTCACTCAGTCAGTTCAGGAGCAGCCAAATGCTCCTTCTATAGCCCAGTCGCAGATGGTCTTTAGAGCACGATGAGAACCATCAGCGTTCTTCGGCTGCTGTAGCAAGATTAGCAGCGGATAGCGCTCGAAGCTAGATTCTAGCAGAGACTTGACGATAGCAAAAGACACCAGACATTCGACAATGACCAGGCTATCCGCTCCGCAATTCTCCCACATGTGAGAGTTTCCGTGGCTGGCTGGCAACGCTCATCAACGACAAATCATACTCTGGTTCCCACCAGGGCCTGAAGTATTCGGATCTCGCACGACTTGATGTGGACGGAATTCAATCGATCGCTTTGATAACCACCGCCGAGGATACCTGCTGCGTTTGAAAGATGGGGTGGGCATCACGAGCCTAAAGATGTGGGAAGAAAGAAACCGCGATGGGATGTTCAACAGCTGCTGTCCTAGCCCCGACTAAGCCTTGAAGCTCTCTGACGACCTTGAAGAGGAGGAAATGCACAGTTTGCAGCAACTGTCCACGCATGCCACTGCATCGACATTCACCCGCGCCACGGTTGGAATCAGCCAAGTGCGCGCTTGCTCCCGACACCCCAAGCCGCAGTTTGATGCACTTTGCCACCACCATGCCTGCAAACAGCCGTATAATGAAATTTGGGAGATTGAGCCTACTGACTGAATCTCGTGCAGGAAAATGTTTATTGGCGGCCTCAACTGGGAGACTACTGATCGTAAGTTCCGCCGGTGTACCAGGGATGTTCCACAACTCACTAAATCTCGACAGAGTCCCTTCGAGACTACTTCTCGCAGTTTGGCGAGGTCGTTGAGTGCACAGTCATGCGCGACAGTAGCACTGGCCGGTCGAGAGGTTTTGGCTTCCTCACGTTTAGAGACCCCAAGACCGTGAACATTGTCATGGTCAAGGAGCATTTCTTGGATGGCAAAATTGTATGTACACTCCCAATAGGTCTTGGCCCTGAAGTCATGCTTACAAAAAACAGATCGACCCGAAGCGTGCTATTCCCCGCGACGAGCAAGAGAAGACAAGCAAGATTTTCGTTGGCGGTGTGAGCCAGGAGACCACCGATCAAGAGTTTAAGGACTACTTCCAGCAATTCGGTCGCGTGGTTGATGCCACGTTGATGATGGATAAGGACACGGGTCGGCCCCGTGGGTTTGGATTCGTTACTTTTGAGAGCGAAGCTGGCGTGGAGGCCTGTCTGAGCACAAGTCTCGAGATTCATGGCAAGCCGATTGAGGTCAAGAAGGCCCAACCGCGAGGCAACCTCCGGGAGGAGGAAGAGGCTGCCCGTCGCGGTGGAGGCAAGTTCCGCAAGGGAGAAGACGCCGCTAGTCAGGGCGGCATGGGAGGCGGCCAGATGGGCGCTGCCGGTGGCATGACGCCGCAAGTCATGGCCCAATATTTCCAAAGGATGCAGCAGTATTTTGCCATGATGCAGCAGCAGATGGCTATGAGCCGCGGCATGGGACCGATGAACCCGGCCATGATGCAGCAAATGATGCAGATGCAGCAGATGCAGCAAATGCAAAACCAGATGATGGGTCGCGGCGGCGGCGGCAATGGACAGAACATGATGGGCCAGATGACGCCACAGATGATGCAGCAGATGCAGCAAATGCAACAACAGATGCAGCAGCAGATGGGACAGCAGATGGGACAGCAGGGTGGACCTCCCGCAGGACCCAGTGGCAGCTTCAGCCCCCAACAGCAGATGTTCGACCCATCTCAAGGAGGTCAAGCGCAGCAGCAAGGACCGCGACGGGGCGGCAGCACCGGCAGCGGTGGTGGACGTGATCAGTACAATAACAACAACAACAACAACCAGGCAGCCTACAACATGGGCGGCGGAGGCGCTCCGACATCTTGGGAGGGCATGTACGACGACGTGCCCCAGCCCAACATGAACCCTGGGGGCGGCCGTGGAGGTGGCTTCAACCGTGGTAATCGGGGCGCACACCAGGGATCGCCAGACCCTGCGCATGCCCCGCCTGCCAACGCGCCTACGGGCCCCAAGAACGCGGGCAAGCCAGGCGCCAACTACCGCGGAGGCGGACGCAGCAGCAACCGCGGTTTCCACCCTTACTCGCGTTAGTAGACGGTATGGTTTGGAAAGACTGCGGCTCGCACTTTGCAATGGCGAACTCGGACAACATAAAGGATGGTTTCAGCATGTTCAGGCATGGTTAACTACGAACGGTGCTAGCACAAGCGGACCCGGAAGTGAGAACGGAATCATGTTACTCTGGTATCAAAGGCATGGTCGAGCTTGGTTTGGCAGTCGAGTTGCGTGAATGGATGTCTTCGCATCAGGGAAGGCAGCGACGGGGTATTCTTCTCTAAGATTGGGATCAGGAGGTTGTTTGGGGGGTCCGGTCTGGGTCGGCAGGCTTGCATTTCGCGCTTGCGCAAATCATCTTCTTTTTCCTTTGCACATTACGGGAATTCTGTACTATACAACGGGCCCAAAAATCAATTTCTAATCAAGCCTTTCGTCGTACAACATGCAACTCATGTGACATTCCCTGATGCAGATTTATCAGCACTATCATATTGAGATCCTGCGTCTCCAGTCACAATTACACTTGCTACATGGCCATTATCGTGCTACCTACTGAAGCCTATCTTGAACTTATTCTGTGAAGTCTCAGGGCTGTACACACAACTGACTGACGGACGGGAGGCGGTGACGATAAGTCTCGGTGATTGGACCCGGCCGGGTGTATGCCGAAACCTGCCTCGCGCATCGGCTGCGCCCTCCGAGTCCGCAACGACATCGAACGAGGGCATCTCACCTGCGGCGGCACCAGAAACTCCTGAATGACAAATCCATCCAGCCTGATGATGGCGCTTAACTCGCCTTTGGAGACCGCCCCTGTCAGTCGGCCCCCGTCTTATCCCTCGGCTTCCGGGGTCGGCTTCCGGACGCTTTACCACCAGATTCCGTGGAAAGATGATGGCGACAGAGTTGTAGGGGAACATGGACGAGTAGCACAACGTAGTAGCGCAGTATCTGATGTTGTACACAATGCATTCCACGATATGGGAAATCCGACCCGGACTTGAAATCCATTAACACCACCCGCCGTCATCGGGATGCGTTCAGACGTGCCCTCCACATCGGAAAACCCACCTGGCTCAAGGGTTGTCCTAGGTACCAGAAACAGCTACCGCCCGGGGAGGAGCCGCCGCAAAGTCAAAACACAGCCGAAGTTGAACCTGCAAAGAGAGAAGCCGGGCAAGCACCGAGACTTCCCCAGACCATAGGCCAATCCAGTCTAATCAACTTTTGACAACCCAACATCAACATCCTTCACCGAGTCGTTGACAGACGCACCCTGGACTCTCAAGTCGGCGGTTCCGAAGCCGCCCGGAACTAAATTTTACACAGGTCCCCACGTCCCAAAGACCTTCTGAGCTTTTTCTCGTCAATTGAGAGAAAATTCAACGCGGCTTGTCGTCTATGCCCTTTCCCACCCCAGCCCCCTCCTTCAAGGATCCCTAAGCAACGCATGTGATTTCTAATCAGCCCCTCCATTCTGCCCCTCCATCATTCGCTGATACAGCGGCGCAAAAACATCGCAGAAAAAAACGGCAGAAAACATCAGACCCCACATACCAGACAGGTTCCGCGCGCGGGAAACAAACCGGTCCCCTCGACGCAATTACCATACCTTATTCCCTCCTCCATTCTAGAACCTCCAAAAGCCCATTCATCCTTCCGTCTGTCCAATCCCCTCTCTCCCCTTTCAAATACAACATTGCGTGATCAGGGAAAATAGGGACCACCACGTTTCCCATCCCACGGCAACCATACAGTTACCTACAACGAAACCCCCAAATCCCATAGCCGCCGCGGGCAGCAAAGCGTCAACATTCCATCCAAAACCCCCACCTTTTGCTTTTTTAGCCCGCCGTCGGCCGGGCGGTTGTCGGGCTGAGCCGCAAGTCTACATCACCTCACATTGCATTACACCGCAGACAACTTCCAATTCGGACAAACCCACCCACGCACTCCCCGGGAACCCGTTCGCCTAGAACTATTGCGCCATCGCTGAAGAAACCTCCTTTTCCTTGCCCAACACCCCGGTCATCCCAACAAGCGCGCTTGCCTTGCATCGCGGAAGCTGAACGGGCTGACGACGGCTTACCTCATAGCTGGTAAACGGCGGGAGAAAAACAACAAACGGTCACCACTCCCCCTCACAAGTTATCTCGAAGGGCGTTATCGACAAGGCGGATGACATAGCATCCCGTCAATTAATCACGATCGTCAAATATATTGTTATACGCATTCTTAACAAGCATCACGTACACGTACATACCTGAACGCCGATCACCAGTACCTTTGTCTCCGGGGGCTCAAGACGGAGCCGGTCGTAGCCGCCCCAACCCCACCATCGCAAACATCACCAAAACATACACACAACGATGGGTCTCCTGCAAGTTCCCGCGCATCACGTAGCTTAAGTGGTAAACGAATCCTAACGTTTTTTGTAGAGCTCTGGGAACCGCCCTTGACTGGCCGGATGCGAAGCAGCGCGCCGATCAGGTCCGCGAGTGGGGTATCAAGGTTCGATGACACTCACACTTCTCTCACCATGAGATGGTCACGGCTCATCGTATGCTCACTTTACTGACTCTTGACGTGATACCTATAGCAATTGCTAGAGATATGGAACAAGGCGAAGGGCAAGGAGCGCGATGCCATGTTGTGGGGAGACGAGGTACATGAGAATTGTTGCACCCTTCTCAGAAATAATATCTCTGATATATGATGCAGGTTGAATATTTGGTTGTCACCTACGACAAGGATGAGCCCAAGGTCCGCCTATCGCTCAGACAAGCCGAGATCCTCACGGCCCTCGCTGAGAGCCCCGATTTGGCCAAGGAGGGAGGTTGCGTGCCCGAACTTCAGGAAGTCGCCAGAGAATCGTGAGTTCTATCCCTCTCACTGCTCATCTCATCTCAAACCCAGCATGAGCGAGAAAGGGCAGTCATGGCAGCACTTCATCGCACACACAACTAACACGTTCCGCAGAAGCACAACTCTCCCTGTCTTCCACCCTGAATTCGGCCGCTTCATGCTCGAAGCAACCCCGGGTAAGCCCTGGGGCATCGGCTTCAAGGAGCTCCTCGACGTCGAGCCCGACATGAAGCTCCGCCGCAAGATCGCAAAGGACCACATGCACGCCAACGAGTACCCCATCACCCTCACCACTTTCCCGCGCATCGGCTGCCCCGGCGACTTCACCGAGCCCTACTACCCGCCATCCGGCCCCAAGCTGCGCTCCCAGTTCGTCCCGGACGAGATCGCCAACCCGCACATCCGCTTCCCCACCCTCGCCGCCAACATCCGCTGGCGCCGCGGCCGCAAGGTCCAGGTCAACGTCCCCGTCTTCCACGACAAGAACACCCCCAACCCCTGGAAGGACCCTACCGTCAACTACGACCTGCACAACTGGCCCGAGGACGAGGACGTCCGCAGCGGCGGCGCCGCGCCCGACAACTTCATCCACATGGACGCCATGGCGTTCGGCATGGGCAGCTGCTGTCTGCAAATCACGTTCCAGGCGAAGAACATCACCGAGGGCAGGAAGATGTACGACCAGCTCAGCCCGCTGGGCCCCATCATGCTCGCCCTGACGGCCGCCACGCCCATGTACAAGGGCTTCCTCGCGAACACAGATGTGAGGTGGAACCAGATCAGCAGGGCGGTCGATTGCAGAACACCCGAGGAGCTCGGAGAGAAGGTAAACCTTTGGTCCCCCCCTTTTCAAACCTCCGATTATACTGACAAAACCAAAGCCCCTGAAGAACGACCGCTGGCGCATCCCCAAATCCCGCTACGCCTCCAACTCGACCTACATCTCGACCGACCCGCGCCTGCGGCCCGAGTACCTCTACCCCGACCTCGTCATCGACGAGGCCATCAAGGCCAAGCTCATGGCCGGCGGCATGGACGACCGCCTCGCCACGCACTTTGCCCACCTCTTCATCCGCGACCCCATCGTCGTCTTCGAGGAGGACCTGCAGGAGCTCGACCTCTCCAAGACGGACCACTTTGAGAACCTGCAGAGCACAAACTGGCAGCACATGCGCTTCAAGCCGCCCCCCGCCGACAACAGCATCGGCTGGCGCGTCGAGTTCCGCCCCATGGAGATCCAGCTCACCGACTTCGAAAACGCCGCCTTCTCCGTGTTCATGGTCCTCGTCACCCGCGCCATCCTCAGCTTCGACCTCAACTTCTACATCCCCATCACCAAAGTCGACGAGAACATGGAGCGCGCCCACAACGTCGACGCCGTCCTCAAGGACAAGTTCTTCTTCCGCAGGAACCCGTTCCCCAGCAGACCCGGCCGCCAGCTCGGCGAGAACATCGCCAACCCGAACTCCACATCCCGCCCCGGCTCGCGCCCCGGCTCCGCGGTGCCCAGCCGGCCCCCGACGCCCGTCGGCCCCGTCGAGGACGAGTACGAGGAGATGACCGTCGACGAGGTCATCAACGGCCGCCCCGACGGCGGCTTCCCCGGCCTCATCCCGCTCGTCGAGAGCTACCTCGACGGCGTCAACGTCGACGTGCAGACGCGCTGCGAGCTCGACACGTACCTGCGCCTCGTCAGCCAGCGCGCAAGCGGCAAGCTGTCGACGGCCGCGCGGTGGCTGCGCGACTTCGTCGACGTGCACCCGGGCTACGCGCACGACAGCGTCGTCTCGGAGGAGATCCAGAAGGACATCATCGCGGCCGTCATCGCCGTCGGCGAGCGGGAGACGGCGGGCAAGGGGTTCGGCGGGCTTGACGTCCACGGGCTGCCGAGTCTGCTCGGCGATTTTAGGAGGGGATGTGGAGGAGGTGCGTAAAATTTCAAGTTTCCTTTTTTGTCTCTCTTCATTAGGTGTCTGTCTACATGAATATGGTGGCTTAGAATGCTGACGGTTCTTCTTTCTGCCCATGATTAGACGCCGAGAAGAAGAGGGGACCTAATGGGCAGGTGGACGAGAGACAAGATGGACCCCTGAAGCGGGCGAGATCGGGGGCGTCGCCGTGAGCGCGGTTCAGCCCTTCCATCAATGGGGTGCAAGGCATCGTGGGGC